CTTTTACAAATGAGGATATGAGGGTACCCTTGTATTTGGAGCATAGATGCTCAGAACTGAGACTTTATCTTGAAGAATTTTTTTTCCTGTGAGGAATATGAAATAACCTTCTTCTTCTCTTTTGACTAATTTTAGTTAGAAGTTTATTTTTATTAGATATTAGGATAGCTATACTAGCTTGTTTCTTTGGTCCATTTGATTGGAAAATATCTTCGCAATCCTTTACTTGAGGTAATGTCTGTCTTTGTAGTTGAGGTGTGCTTCTTGTATGCAGCAGAAGGATAGATTCTCTTTTGTATGCAGCCTGTTAGCCTGTGTCTTTTTATAGGCAAATTGAGTCTATTGATATTAAGGGATATTAATGACCAGAGACTATTAGTTACTGTTACTTTTGTTTTTGTTGTTGATAGTGGCATTATGTGTGCATTTCTCTTCTTAGTGATTTGCTGGTGTGGGATTATCTATTGCCTTTGTTTTTGTGGATGTAGCTAACTTTCTTGGGTTGGAGCATTCCTTTAAGTACTTTCTGTAGGGCTAAATTTGTCAGCTGAATTTGTGGATATGTATTGTTTAAATCTGGTTTAGTCATGGAATATCTTGTTTTTTCCATCTACGGTGATTGAAAGCTTTGCTGGATATGGTAATTGGGCTGGCATCCATGTTCTCTTAGTGTCTGACCAGGACATTCTGGCTTTCATTGTTTCCACTGAGATGATGGGTATAATTCTGATAGGTCTGCCTTTGTATGTTAGTTGGCCTTTTTTCCTTTGCATCTCTTAATATTCTTTCTTTATTCTGTATGTTTCATGTTATGTGGCAAGAGGTGACTTTTTTTTTTTTTGGACCAGTCTATTTGGTGTTCTGTTATCTTCTTGTACTTTCATAGGCATGCCCTTCTTTAGGTTGGGAAAGTTTTCTTCTATGATTTTGTTGAATATATTTTCTGTGCCTTTGAGTTGAATTTCTTATTCTGTCCCTATTATTCTATTTGTATGTTTGTTCTTTTCATGATGTCCCAGATTTCCTTGATATTTTGTGTTAAGAATTTGTTGAATCTAACATTTTCTTTGATTAATTAATCTACTTCCTTTATTAAATCTTCGAACACCTGAAGTTCTCTCTTCTATCTCTTGTATTCTGTTGTTTATAATTGCATCTGTAGTTCCTGATCATTTTCCCAGATTTTCCATTTCTGAAGTTTCCTCTGTTTATGTTTTCTTTATTGCCTCTATTTAAGTTTTAAAGTCTTGAACTGTTTCCTTCACCATTTTGATTGCATTTTCTTGGTTTCTTTAAGGAATTTGTTGATCTCTTCCAATTTTTTGTTTGTCTTTTCCTCCATTTCTTTAAGGGAAGTTTTCATTTTCTCTTTAAGGGCCTCAATCATCTTTATAAAGTTATTTTTAATGTTGTTTTCTTCTGCTTCATCTGCGTTGGGATGTTCAGGTCTTGTTGCTATAGAACCACTAGTTTCCGGTAATGCTGTATTGCTCTTTGTGTTGTTGAGTGTATTCTTACCCTGCTGTATACACATCTCTTCCTCCAGTTGGTGCAGGTAGAGCCTGTGCTTCAGGGGTCCCTTTATCTCTAATTCGTGTAGTTGGGAGCTGTGGCTCTGTTGAATGCTCCTTCAGGTGAAGGCAGGGTTGAGTCTCTGGTGTTGCTCCTTCGGGTGTAGATGGGCCCAAGGCTCAGATGGTCGCTCCTCTCAATACAGGTGGGGCTCTGGCTCCTCCAGGTGTAGGCAGTGCCAGGGCTCCAGTGATTGTTCCTATAGGGCAGACACTTACCTTAAGGTATAAGTATTTAGCATACAATTAGGAATCATTCTGGCTTAGTAAAGTGGCTATCATACTTTCTCCTCTGAGATCCACAACCTCACTGTCTCTGGCAAGATTTCCATAAAAAAGTATAATTTCTTTCCTGTTGAGCATGTGTTAAGTCCAATTAGACCCAATAATAAGCACACATGTTGAACCTTTAGGAATACTTTGTCATGCCATTGTTGTGATTCATAGGTATCGTGGCTGATAGGATTATTGATTGCATGTGTCACTTGGAAGCTCCAGTAGTACCTTCGGTACAGTGAGAGTTGATTCTCAGGGAGGAGGCTTACAGGTCAGATCCCACTGGAATCCTGAGTTCTGTGTCTGAAGTCCATGATGTCTTAAGTAGCAGGGACTTGTCTTCAACTTCTGGGAGTCAACGAATGGTCAAAAGCAATAGCTTATATAGTTTTGGGAGTCTCTTGGACTCCCCTTACCAACAATTTACAAGGTTTCTTATGTCTGACAGTGGGGTTTTGGCCATATAATCTATAGTTGGGCTGGGGGAATCATTATCTTCTCAAGTGGCACAACTTCACTGGGATTTTATTGAATCCATATATTTGGTAGAAGGGTCATTTTCACAGTATCAGTTCTCTCAATCAGTGAGCACGTGGGGGTGTCTTTTCATTTTTTAGTGTCTTTCTCAACTTCTTTCTTCAGAGATTTAAATTTCATTGTAGAAGTCTTTCTAGATGTTTACCCACTACTCAAACATCTACCTCCTGCTTTTGTGCATATATTTTTACGGATATAGTCCAATTAGGACCGCTTGCCTGTGCCAGGGTGTGTTATTGTTTACTAGAACATGGGAAAGTTACTAGTAGCCACATATTGAATTAAAAAGAACTCCCTTCTATAATAGTTATTAACTACCAACCGCTTTTCATCTAGGGGTGGGGACTCATGTACCACTCTCCCACTCCCGATATGAGGTTGAAAAGTTCTGTCTTGATCATATGCAAGCAACCATAGCTGCTGTGAATGTCTGGCTTCACTGGCCTTGTCATGTCCAGAAGACAGAGTTTCAAATCCTTGCTCCACATGCTTTGTCTCTTACTTTCTTTGTAGTCCCATTCAGTCATATTCCTTGAACCTTATTATGATATAAATCTCTCATTTACAACTGAGTACTCAGTAGTCATTTACTCAGAGTACCTTGACTAATTATGAGTCTCTACATTACCCATTCAAGCGTTACTTATAGAAATCTTAACCCTTAATGTGATGGTATTAAGAGTTGGGGATCTTTGAAAGGCTATTTTGATGTTATGCATAATATTCAATAGATTTTTTATAAGATTAGGAAGGTTTATCTAATCCTAATTTGTCGACATTATTTTTAATCAAATAAACATTGGATTTAGCCAAATTATTCTTCTGAACTTACTGGTGATCATATGACTTTAGTCTGATGGCTGCATTGATTATTGAATATTGTACATCTGACTGTCATAGATATTGTTTAGGATGTAATTTTTAACCCTTTATTGGATTTTCTATACTAATATTTTGTAAAGATCATTGCATCAATGCTCAGGCACACACACACACACACACACACACACACACACACACACACTCTTCTAATGTTTTTAGTTTTAGCATTAGCCTCATAGCATAAGAGGTATCCTTCCTGCACACAGCTCTTGAAATAATATCAGTGTGCTCCGTTACTTGAATGTTTGGTAGCACTCACCAGCAAACTTGGGATGTTAGTAATTTATTTCTTTTGCAAATTTAAGCCCTATTTTTATTGTCTTCCACTTGTGCTTAAGTAGATTGTGTCTCTAAGGAACAGGCCCACATTACCTATTGAACTATGCTTGTAGACATGGAGTTTTTAGAAGTCATTTATTATTTTTTAGTGCCTATAGAATTTGTGTTGTTGGTCTTCACTTGAGGGGAGCCTTTTGGATTATTTGGTGGAAGCCATATATGCTTTTAGAATAAAACAATTAAATCACAAATGTAAAAGCAAAAGTTATCTATGTCTATCCATGGCACTTCTTTTTCTGTTACACATCCTGGCTCCCTACTAAAGAAGTCAAGATTGTTGGCACACTTTTGTTTTATCATCTTTGCAAGACTGCATGTCAGATTCTGATTTCTATAGTCAATGTGATTCCACAACATAAATCTAAAGTTTCTTCTATATATATTTAACCAGTTTTCAGATAAATAATATTTTGTTGTATTTTAATTAATATCATTAAGATGGAAAGGGATCACACCCCAGGTAGAATTAAAACCAAGAAGGGACCAGAGATTGAAGAGAACCAGCTTGCTATTCTGCCTGTGTCTATATAGTCATTTGAATATTGTTTCGTAGAAATTCTGATTGTATGGACAATAAATTCAGTTCTTTTCATTTTAAATATCTGAAAATTGGGTTTCTATCACCTGTAGCCAAAATATATCTGGTATGCTTTATTATTTATATAAGGCATCCAAAATACAGAAAAGTAATGTGGTTTGCTCTAGATCCATAATCAGAGTCCCAAAAGACCCCAAACCATTCAGGCCAGAATTCTTCCTATAATATTCATTCCCATTTTAGAGGGTATATCTGAACCTGAAGTTTGGGAGGTGGGTGATTTTCCATCTTCCTTCAGGTTCACTGTACATTTGCTGACTTTATCAACCCTCCTGTGCCACTTGCAAAATCAAGTTTCCAATCATTCATGCTCCTAACATAGAGGCAATAGAACTGAAAGATTCGGAGACAATGAAAGCAGTGCCTTTTTGTTCTGAGAATTTGTCTTTTAAGAAATAAATAAACTTGAGCTTTGGTGGGATGTCTTGTGAGTAATTCTTTGATGGGATATTTAGTAGCTATGACAGCTACTAAAAATGGAAGTGTGTACTCTCCTAGCTAGCTGGACTTTAAAAATTGAAAATTTAATCTTTCTTCTAATATCCAGCTGGTCAGAGCAAAATAGCCAAAACTTTCTCTTTTCTTTGAAAGTTTATATTGTTTCTCTGAATCCTAATAAAACTCCTAAGAGGTGCTGAGGGGTATAATTAGAGAGGTAGGAAAACATACATAGGGAGATTTGACACTTTACCTTGGATTGGCTTGATAGCTATGTCAGAGACCTACTCCTATCAGAGAGCATGTGGGCAGTAGTATCCCAAGATAAATTTGCTTTTCTATTTTGGCTCTCTTGGTAGGATTCCCCAAGTCATGTATCATCAGATGCAACAGGATACATGGAAAGTCTTCCTAAGTGTCTGAGAGAAGCTTCATCTTCAGACCTCTGGCATGTGGGGCTGCTCACCATGACCACCATTTTCCCAGAAAGAGCTGATGTGAGATACGCTCAAGAGAACAGGAGGCAAAGCCTGTGACTTCCAATGAATTCAGACAGAATTTCTTCCTTTGCTTTGGGCACAGTGTTGTTGAAAATTATCTTCAGCTGTTTGCTGATATATGCGGGGCCTTTGTTAATCCTGGATAGCTGGCATTGAGATACACTAGGCAGCTAAATTGCTCTAGTAATTTAACATTTGGCCAGCAGTTAGACACCTGCTTTTTCATGACATTCATCTATCTCCCTGTCTCTTTCATCTCATTCTCTGTCTTATTTTTCTTACAGATTTTCTCCTGGGTTTCCCATAGGGAACAAGGACTTTGAATGGCCAAGGAAAAGGAATTTGATGACAGGGACTTGTACCTTGTCAAAAATAGAAGCTATATTCTTGTAAGTTTCAGAGTCCACTTACAGACCAAGGGAAGTTACAGTCCAAATGGAGCTTCTCAGCTGTGCCACAGTATAGGCCAGAGGAGGGATGTTCTCCCTGAGCTCAGGGCTCATACATAAAATTCAAGTGTAGCTGTTGACAACATAAATTTTGGGTTTTGTCCAAAGGGCTATCTTAGTTTTAAGCCATAACGCCATTCCATGGCAACTTTGTTGTTTAGATTTAATTTTTTTTTCAGCTACAGAGATGACTCCATGGTTAAGAGCACTCACTGACTGCTCTTCTGGTGACCAGGGTTTTAATCACAGCATTCATATAGCACTAGTAACCATCCATATCTTTAGTTCCAGAGGATCATCTGCCCTCTTCTGGCCTTCATAGGCATTGCGATCTTGTGGTGCACAGATATACCTGTAGGGGAAACATCCATATGCATAAACTGGAAGTAAATAAATCTTAAAAGTTAATTATGAGTGTAGGTCCCTGTGGAGTGCAGAAGACAGCTGCACTTCAGGATCCCTTGAAGCTGATGTTACAGGTAATTGCGAGGGCCTGACATGGGTGTTGGGAGGCCAACTCCAGTTCCCTGGAAGAGCAGGAAGTAATAGGAACCAGACTGCCATTTCTCTAGCTCTTCCAAGCCAGTTTTACTTCATGGGCAAGTTTCTCATCACAGGAAGGTCCAGTTAGTTACTGAGGCTGTAGCATAAGGGTAACAAAACCTACATCACAAAGTAATTGTAAGAGTTAAAACAACAACAAAAATTCTAATGCTATGAACTGAAGTTGTAACTTGAGATACAGTTCCTAAAGGGTTGAAGTGATGACAGCATTCTTTTCACTGTGGTGTTAGGTCATTCTTTTAGGCAAGAATGATCCTCTGGTTGTTACTTCCCTCATCCAGCTCCCATTTTTCTGTTTCTCTAAGAACTCATGTATCAGTTCATTTTTTCATTGCCGTGTTAAAGCACCATGGCCAAAGATGTGAGCTTATTTTGGCCAATTGTTCCAGAAGAGTAAGATTAAATTAGGGGGCAGGGGAAGCATGGCAGCAGATGGCAAGTGTGGTGGCAGGAGCAGGAGGCTTAGAGCTCACATTCTTAATTGCAGGTCTGGGGGAGGCAGAAAGGGTGGGAGAAAGGGGGAGAAAGAGAGGACCAACACAAAACAAAACACCACTGTGAGAAGCTATGGACTCTCAAAGCCAGCTTAAAGTGATATACTTTCTCTATCACATTCACACCTCCAAGACCTCTAAAAACTACCACCAGCTAGGGACCTAGCTGTTTGAATGCTTAAGCCTATGGGGAACATTTCTCATGTAAACCACGATAGTACCATGTCATCATTGGTCTCAGAGTTTGTTTTTAAAAGTGATAATAATGAAAACACTGAGATTTGAATGCTTTGTCTATCGCAGTGAATTCTTTTATACCTTGTTGTTTTCTAGTGCATTATTCTGAACATTTCAAAAGTATAAGCAATTTGAAAGACTTATATACCAAGTCTTCATTCCCATCCAAAAGTCTTCTGTTAATATTTACCCTACTTGCTTCGTCATTTTACCTGGCAATCCATCTGTCCCTGTAAGTGGTCATCAATCAATTCTTTGAACAATTCAAAATAAGTCATAGATACTAGCAAAATTTCCCATAAGTATGTCAGTATATATAACATTAAATGTAACTCAATATTTTACAATGCTATTCTTTAGACAAATCAGGAAAACATACAGTTCGGAGTATTTACAAATGGTTCATACCTGTGCAAGACCTCTCCTAGTCTTCCTTCCTCAGCCTATATATTCTAGCCTCTCCTTGAGACCAAGTGCATCAAGGCAGCTTGCATACATCAGGTGGTAGGAGAAGCTGGATATTTGGGGTGGGGGAATAAGGGTGTGGAGGGGTGGATGGTGGTCTTGTGACATCATTCCAGAAAGTTCCTTCCAAAGCTTCCAAATCATGTGCTTATTTTCACAGGCCAGATGGTTAGTCCCTCAGGGATTAGTTCTAGAAACTGTTGTCAGTGGAACCCATATGATATGTGTTTTTTTTTTAAATGATTCTTTAAAAAGCACAAAGCTTCCAAATATATTTTTCTTGTCACTGAATGTTATTGCACTGTATATTAATACCCCACACTTTAAAAACTTTTCATTAATAGACACATAAGTTGCTTCAAGTTTATGGCTAGTATAGAAAATCTACTATGAACTTTCTCCTCTGAGAATTTATTTGTGAATGATTGTATATCTCTTAGTTAATACATATATATATATTATGTATATATAATTTATGTGAATTCCTTTTGTTTACAACCTCTTCAACAATTGGAGCTGTTTGTCTTTTTAACCCACCTATTTTGATGAATGTGCTATTATCTCGTTTTCAAATGCATTTATGAAGAGTAGTTATACTGGTAATCTCTATGTAACTGACCATTGTTCTTTTCTCTCAGAGTTTTGTATACTTGGAAATTACTTGACTGTCACCACTACAGGGATCCCTCATTTTTTGAGATTTACTTTGTTAGATATGCATTGTGAATATTTTCTCTCAGTCTCTTATTTACTTGAGTTTTTTAAATAAAAATAGGATTTTGATGAAAGTACCTTTTTATTTTTATAGTTGTTTGTATCCTGTTTAAGAAAACATTTCTTATGTCTAAATGGTGATAACATTTCTTTTCAGCAAAATTCTAATTCTATCATTCAAGTTTAGGTCTGTACCCATCTCAAAGACAGTTGTGGATATAGGCTGAGTTAGCACTCAGGGGGTGTTGGTTATGAACAGTGTTTTAGCAGTTTCTGTAATAAAGGCTTTGTTCTCCTTGTGAATGATCCAGTGTCTTTTTCTAAAATCAAGTGAATATGTATCTGTGAGTTTATTTCTAGAGACTCTGTCTCAATCTGTTATGCTGGTCTTTTTATTGGTTCTTTATGCTCAAACCACATTACCCTGTACCTTTATAGTAAGCCTGAGCATCAGGATATATTTGTGTTTCTGCTATATTTCTTCTTTAACAACCTCTTTAGCAATTCTAAGTCATTTTAATATCTATTTTCGTGTAATTTTTATACTGTCTTGTTAATTTCAACAAACTTGGGTATTATGAGCATTATATTGATCCTATTAATAAAATTATCTAATTTTGGGAAAATTGAGATAAAAGCAACTTTGAGGCTTCTGAAATATAAACACAATGCATCCTGCCATGTACTAAATCATTCGGTTGCTCTGAGCAGTCTTTTATTTATTTATTTATTTTAGAAGCACTCTTATTTACACATCCATCCCCCTATTCCTTCTCTCACCCATCCTCTTATCCTTCCCACCAACTCCCTCAACCCACCCCCCCTTCCTCCCCAGGGATAGTGAAGTCCTCCACAAGGGACCATCAAAGTCCCTCACATCATTTGGGAGAGGGCCCAGGCCCTCATTCCTGTATCTGGGCTGCAATAGTATCCCTCCATAAGGAATGGGCTCCCAAAGTCCATTTGTGCTCTAGGAATAAACACTGGCTCTGCTGTTAGAGGTCCCATAGACTGTCTTGGCCTCCTAGATGGCACCCACAATCCGAGGGCTTGGTTCGGTCCAATGCTGGTTCCCAGGTTTATGGCTAGGGTCTCCGTGTTCTCACTAGGTCAGGTCAACTGTTCTGAGGGATTCTCCAGCACAGTCTTGGCTCCTTTGCTGAGCAGAGTCTTGAGGTCTGTCATGAAGAAATCTTACAGGTACTTTCATAAATATATGCTTTAGAAGTATTTCAGATACTGATTTTGTAATTTATGCTGTTAATGAAAAAATTTCCTTTAATTGAATTTTCCAACTTATGTTAATAGTATACAGACATGCACTTGATTTTGAATATTGACTTAAAATGGTTCAAACTTACAAGACTTAAGCATTAATTTTATTGTTTGTTTTGTAAATTTCATGGTATTTTCTGCAATAGTAGTCACAAAGTCTATGAATACATAGACAGTATTACTTATTTTAAATGTTTGTTTGGCTTATTTTTTCAATATTTTACCAGTTTTTGCCTTATCCTACTACTTTGTATATCTAGTAAGATGATCAGTAAATATATTGAGAATAGACATTCTTGCCTGTTTTAAGTTTTGAGAAGAGAACCGTAAATGTTTTACTTTTATGTTTTTTAGATAATTGTAGATAATTAATAAGATGCCTTCTGCCAGAATATAATTGTTTAGCTCTTTAGATATTCTATTATGAGTAGGTATAAAACATCAAATGAATTCTCTATAGCTTTTGAGATGACTATGTATTTTTTCCTTTTATTCTATTGACATATACCTCATACTGATTGATTATGTTTTCAACTTCCCTACTATTCTTGGAATGGATCCTCTTCCATGGTGATGATGATGATGATGTAGTACCATTTTTATGTATCATTCAAATAGATTTGAAAATACTATATTAAATATGTGTGACTCATTTAAAAAATCCGTTGAGAAACTAAACAGTTAAAGACAAGTAACAACATGACACTTGCATGGTAGAAGTAAAATGTGTGACAATCAAAGCATGACACATAAGAGAACATGCTGGAGAGTTCCTCTATTTTACATAGAGTATATTTTTTCTTTCTCCTTATATGTGTATGTGACCACAGTCTGTGTTTATATATACATACATGTGAGGATGTGTGTAGGTGCAAATGTAGGCAGGTGTGCATAGGTGTGAGAGCCCGAGTTGATGTTAGTAATCTTCCTCAATCATTATTCTACCTTATTCTTTGAGACAGGGTCTCTAAATTAAATCTAAAGCTCACTGACCAGTAGTCTCACTAGTCATTGTGCTTTTGGAATATCTTGTCTCTGCCTTCTGAGGCTGGAATGACAGGTGATTCTTAAGGAAACTTTCCTTATGTCTAAATGGTGATATTATTTACTTTTAGAAAACTTCTAATTCTGTGTCTCTACCTGTTGAGCCATCTCAGTAGTCCAGAAAGAAAAATTTAATATCAATACCACTCATCAAAACTACTTTTTCTTTCCAATATTATATTACCAAGAACTATTTGAGACTTTATCTCATTGTAAATTTACACTGTGTACAGTAATCTGATTCTTTTTCTACTTACAATATCTTCATGAAAAAGATTATTTAATTGATCACATAATCTTATAGTTTGACCATGCACCATAATTACTGCAATACACCTTTATTTATGGCATAAATAATTCAAATTTTTACTACAATACTAAAATTAATATTTCAAAGCATGCAACTTTTTTCCAACTTTTTTTATTTGAATTAGAAACAGGATTGTTTTACATGACAATCCCAGTTCCCTTCTCCCACCCGTCCTCCCCTCCCTCCCAACTAAAACCCTACCTATCACATATCCTTTCTGCTCCCTCTGGATGGTGAGGCCTTACATAGGGTGTCATCAGTGTCTATTGTATCCTTTGGGATAGGGCCTAGGCCCACCCCTCATGTGTCTTGGCCCAGGGAGTATTCCTCTATAAAGAATGGGCTCCCAAAGTCCACACCTATGCTAGGGATGAATACTGGACTTCTACAGGAGGTCCTGTAGATTTCTGAGGTTTCCTCACAGAAACCTATGTTCCTGGGGTATGGATCAGTCCCATGCTGGTATTCCAGCTATCAGACTGGGGAGCAAGAGTTCCCAGATGTTCAGGTCAGATGTTTCTGTGTGTTTCACCAGCCTGGTGTGGATCCCTTTACTCTTCACTCGTCCTTCTCTGCATCTGGGTTCCAGTTCAGTTCGGTGATTAGTTGTGGGTGTCTGCTTCTACTTCCACCAGCTGCACTCACTCATATGCAGATTTAGACATAGGGTAAGGATTACCAGCCTACAATCCACACTGCCAAAAAAGCTAATAAACAAGGAGGACCCTAAGAGA